AACTTCCTCCAAAACACATCATATTTTAGGACATAAAGAAAGTCTTAACAAATACAAGAAAACGGAAATAACGTATTTTATTTCATCAGACCACAATGGAATAAAACTAGAACACAACAATAAAAGAAGCCACAGAAAATAACCAAACCCATGGAGGCTGAACAACACATTTTGAATGGTCAGTGGTCATCAAAGACATAAGGGGAAAAATTTAAAAATTCCTAGAAGCAAATGAAAATGAAAACACAACTTACGAATCTTTGAAACACAGCAAAGGCAGGGCTAAGAGGAAAGTGTATTGCTGAGTGCCTACATTTAAAAAGTCAAATAAAAAAAAAACCTATCAATGCATCTAAACTCTTAGAAAAACATGAACAGACAAGCCCCAAGTTAGTATGTATAAATAAATCATACAGCTCAGGGCAGAAATAAATGAAATGGAGACCATAAAAACTCCAATACACAGAATCAATAAAACAAAGAGTGGGTTCTTTAAAAAGACAAACAAGATTGACTAACCCTTAGCCAAACTAACCAAAGAGAGAAAAGACCCAAATTAATAAAACTAGAGATGAAAAGGGGGCTATCACAACATATGACCTACCTAGATTTACCAAAGAAGACATAAACCACCTAAACAGATCCATAACAATAAGTGAGATTGAAACAGCAATAAAAACTCTCCCAACAAAGAAAGAAATCCCAGGACTAGATAGATTCAGGGCTGAGTCATACCAGACCGTTATGGAAGACCCAAAGCCAATGCTCCTCAACCTATTCCATACCATAGAAAAGGAAGGAATGCTATCAAACTCATTCTACAAAGACAGTACTACCCTGATACCAAAATCAAATGAAGACACAACAACAACAACAACAAAAATTATTGACCAATTTCCTTGATGAACATAGACACAAAAAATTGTTAGTAACATACTTGCATACTAAATTCAAAACACAGTGAAAGGTCATCTACCATGAAGAAATTGGTTTTGTTCCAGGGATACAAGGATAGTTCAACATATGTAATTGATAAATGTGATACAGCATATAAAGGGAAAAAAATCAAGAGATCATCTCAATATATGTAGGAAAAGTCTTTGTAAAACATCCTCATGAAAAGAGGTCTAGAGAGACTGGAAACAGAAGAAACATAGTAAAGGTTTTTATGACAAACCGATAGCCCACATCATATTAATAGGGGGAAGCTGAAGTCAAGAACAAGATAAAGGTATCCACTCTCCTATTCAATATAGTGTTTGAATTCCTGGCCAGAGCCATAAGGCAAGAAAAAGAAATAAAAGGGATCCAAATAAGAAAGGAAGAAGTCAAATTATCCTTATTTGCAGATGATCTGATCCTATACTTAAAAGTCCCTAAAGACTCCTTCAAAAAAACTTCTTAAGAGCTGATAAAACCTTTTGGCAAAGAAGCAGGAAACAAAACCAGTATACAAAAATCAGTAGCTATTCTATAGACAGACAATGAATAGGCAGAGAAAGAAATCAGGAAAATAATTCCATACATGATAGCCTCAAAAATCAAATAAAATACCTATGCATAATCGTAATTAATGAGGTTAATGATCTCTGTAATGAAAACTATAAAACACTGTAGAAAAAATTGAAGAAGACAATAGAAGATGAAATGACCTCCCACATTCACATATTGGCAGAACTCATATTGTGAAAATGGCTATGCTACCAAAAGCAATCTATAGATTCAATGCAATCCCCAGCAAAATCCCAATGTCATTCTTCACAGAACTAGAAAAATCAATCCTAAAATTCATATGGAGGTATAAAGGACCCCGAAGAGCCAAAGCAATCCTGAGCAAAAGAGCAATGCTGGAGGCATCACAATACCTGACTTCAAATTGTACCGCAGAGCCCTAGTAACAAAAACAGCATGGCAGTGGCACAAAGCAGTAAACCAAAAGAGTAAAATAGAAACCCATATAGCTATCGTCATCTGATTTTTGACAAAGGAGTCAGAAACGTATCCAGGAGAAAAGATAGCCTCTTCAATAAATGCTGTTGGAAAAACTGGATAACCACATGCAAAAGACTGAAGCCAGACCCCCATCTCTCACCCTGTACAAAAATCAACTCCAATTGGGTCACAGATCTTTAACGTAAGACCTGAAACTTTGAAACTACTACAGGAAAACACTAGAAGGTATAGGCATGCTTATAACTTTCTGAATAGTTGTTCAGTAAATTAGAGCAAGAATTGACAAATAGGATTGTTTCATATTAAAAAACTTCTGTACATCAAAGGAAACGATTTCCAGCGTGAAAAGACAACCCACAGAAGGGAGAAAAACCTTTGCCAGCTATTCATCTGACAAAGGATTTATATCCAGAATATATAAAGAGCTCAAAACATTAAATATCAAAAAACCCCAAACAACCCAATTAATAAATGGGCAAATAAATCGAACAGCTCTCAAATGAAGTAAAATGGCAGACAGGTACATGAAGAAATGCTCAACATCCCTGGTCATGAAGGAAATGCAAATCAAAACTACACAGAGATTCCATCGCACCCCAGTCAGATTGGCTGTCGTCAAGAAAACAAACAACAGCAAGTGCTGGCGAGGATGTAGGAAAAAGGACCCTCATACACTCTTGATGGGAATGTAAATTAGTGGAACCACTGTGGAAATCTGTATGGAGGCTCCTCAAAAAACAGCCATATGACCCTGCTATACCACTCCTGGGCACACACCCAAAGGAAATAAGTCAACATACAATAGAAACACCTGCACACCCATGATTATTGCAGCACTGTTCACATAGCCAAGTCATGGATGCAGCTAAACAAATAAACCAGATGACAACGTTGGTATGGTTGTGCAGAAATTGGAGCCCTGCCTGTGCACTGTTGGTGGGAATGTAATATGGTGCAGCAACGTAGAAAACAGTATGGTGCTCCTCAAAAAATTAAAAATCACATTACCATGTAATCCAGCAGCTCCACTTCTGGGGATATACCCAGAAGAATTGAGATCAGGGTCTTACAGAGATATTTGTACACCATTACTCAATAGCCAAAAGGTAGAAGCAGCCCAATGTGCACTGAACGATGAATGCATAAACAAAATATAGCAAACACACGTAATGAAATATTAGTCAGCTTTAAAAAGAAATTCTTTTTTCACACTCACATAACTTTTATTATACTGTGCTGTCATAATGTTATATTTAATATTTTACCACTCATTATTGGTGCTCATTTTGCTGTATATTAGGCTGCCTAATTTACAGATTAAACTTTTTCATGGATATATATGTACAGAAAAACAGATAAAGGGGACTATGTGATTTCTAATAAAAAGGAAGGAAATTCTGACACATGCTACATACAACATGGATGAATTTTCAGGCCATCATGCTAAGTGAAATAAGTCAGTCACAGAGACAAATGCTGTATGACTCTATTCTTGTGCAGTACCCAGAGTCGTCAGAAAGTAGAACAGTGGCTGCCAGTGGCGGGGGTAGAGAAGGGAGAGCCTGTCAGCTTTACAAGATGTAGAGGGCTGGAGCGGAAAGGTCACAGTTGTGGAAATCTATGAACGTATCAATACTGCTAAAGTGTGTACTTAAAGCTGGTTAGAATACCAAGTTTTTTGTTGTGTGTACTTTGCCACAATAAAAAATTTAAGAACACATATATATAAATATATAATAAAACTAAAGAAACAAGTGAAAAAAAAATCCAAGTAGAGTGATGAGCCTGGATTCAGGATAGCTGTTATCTGGCTGGTGGGGAAGGGTGAGCCAAGAGGCAGGCTAGAGAAGGAAGACACGGGGAGATACTCTGAAATATTCTGGGCCGTGTGTTGGTGGTTTGTTGCTGGGCATTCATTGTTCTATAAAGTAAATTAAATTGCAGAGATGTGCCTGAGTGTGCCTGGAGGAATAGCGGGCCATGATCCAGGGTGATGGTACTGTCTACGCAGGGGTGGACATGAACGTGTAAGTTGGGAGGGGTGTGAGACATGACCCCTGTCTTCTAACACTGGTGAACTCACACCTGGGTCATGGTGTGGGCACCTCTTGGGAGGCCCTGAGGTGGCAAGACATTCACAGGCATTCTCAGGAGACATAAGAGATGGGAGCTGTCCTCAAGCACTGGGTGGACTTCTGCATGGAAGAGGGATAATGTATTCATTCAGAAAGGGCTGGCGGAGTGGCTCAAGTGGGAAGAGCCTGCCTAGCAAACGTGAGGCCCTGAGTCCAATCCCCAGTACCCCCAAAACAAAAACAAAAACTGATTCATTTAGGCTTCAGGGCACAGGAAAGGAACTGGTGGTTAAGTGACAGAGAAACACAAATTGGAGTGCTCTAGCATTGGGAGCTGCATGAGCCCTCTGCATTCCCAGAGAGGGATCAACTTTTCTAGTCTGTCACCAAAGAGAGGTCCTTTAGCACCTTTCCAGTTTCTGGTCTCAGAAAAATGGGGCGACCTTAAGACTTTGTGGACAGTGTGCAAACATAGAGAAATGAGTTGGGGTGAAAGGTGGAGACAAGTTTTTCTTTTATCATGGGTGGACAAGAGGGCTTTCCCCATTGTACTTGTTGGGTTGGCCACTAGTCACATGGTAACCTGTGACATTTCCCACAGGGTTGTTGAGTGTTTCAAATGTGTACATCTCATTTTTTGATCAGGATGTAAGCCTCTTAAGATGAAGGATGTTTTATCTTTCTTTGCATCTTTGATCAGCTTTTTCCTGGAACAAGAGCTCAGTGTGGGCACCCGATGGTCAGTTGCCATGATGTTTGATGGTTTCATTCATTCATCCATTCATTCAATAGCTCTTTACTGAACTGCATAGAAGTTGTGAGAAGGGTTGAAGTGTGGGCTAGAGGTAACTTTGGACAGGAGGGCTGGCCCCATTCACTGGGGGCCAAGTGCTAGGATCCATCTCCAATACCCCATTGCTTAATTCCCAAGGACAAGTCAGAAATCACAGAGATGACATCCAATGTCCTCACCTGGATAGATCCTGAAGAATCCAGTTGAACTGCCAAAATACTGCCAGGTCAATGTAGGGTCTCTCTGGAAGTTCTCCACAAAAACAGGGTTCAGGGCCTCAGACATGTAGACTCCATTTAAAATGTCTGGGTCTGAAGGGGGAGATCATAGAAGGAATTTCTGCAATGGTGACAAAGTTTTCACATGCTAAACACACACCACACACATCCGATGCGCACACACACATATAAACACACACCCTTCAGTGATGTCATTTAGAGCCTCCTGCTAAATCCCTCTAACCCAGAAACTCCTGGTTTTCACCTGTCCATGTGCTAGGGTTTAGATGTGGCTTGCAGGTGTCTCTTCTAAGGGTCTGTATGTTGGACTCTTGATCCCCAGTGACAAAGTAAGGGGCAGTGGAGCCTAGAGGATGGTGGTTCTGTTACTGTGGACACTGCCCTGGGACAGGATTTTTCTGTTTCTTATGGGATCCTGATTAGTTCTCCAGAAAGCTGTCAAAGAGAAAGACAGGCCCTTCCTGTTCCCCGGCTCCCTGGCTCCCCACGTGACCTCTCCCTCTTACACAGGCTCCCACCATAATGCCGTGCTGTGGCACAGCCAGGACCTCACCAGTGCCAAGGACATACTGGCTGGACTTTCAGTTTCCAAAATCCCCAGTTAATGAAACCTCTTTTCTTTATGTGGCTCAGCCTCAGGTACTTCGTCATACTAACAGAAAACAGGGTAATACACTGTTTTCTGTTCTTAGGTGGAAGAACTTTTCTCATCCTCAAAGGACATTGGAGAGACAGATTATGCCCTGCCATGCTTCTCAGGAAGACAGGGGCAAAAATCATGGAACCCTCCAGTCTCACCACTCCCACCCTCACGGCCTCTGTAGGGCGATGACGGCCACCTTTGTTGTACACGTTGGTGGGCAGCTGCACTGTGCTAATGGAGGTGTTCACCCTCAGGTTGCTGAAGTGCGCGTTGGACTCAAGGACAAATTCAGCGCCCAGCTCCACGTGTCTGCCCTTCTCATCTCTCTCGTTGATCAGGACTGAGTTGTAGTAGTCAAACTGTATGGGGAGGATGGGCCCAAGAGAGAGTCAGCTCAGGCACAAGGGACACACAGAGGGAACAAGAGAAAGAGCAAGGGTGAAATCAGAGGAGTCCCATGTGAGACACGGGTGGGAGGGACTGGCTGAGCCCACACAAGCCACATTCAATGGAGAGCGCAGGCCAACATCAGGGTGATTCAGGGACAGCACATGTGCAGATAATTGATTCTGAGGCCTCGATAGGTTGGTGCCTAACATATATCGTCTGATTGATGCTTCTCGTCTCTACTTGGTGTGGAGTGTGTGATCACAGCCAGAGTTGGAGATAGACACCGGCAGTGGCTCAAGGAGAGATGAGGGGACACAAGGCCGCCTCAGTACCATCTGCTTCTTCTGGGTGACAAGGGTCCTAGACACCCAGATGGTGCCAGGAGACTCTGGGCTGGTAGCCTTGGCCTTAGGCTATGACCCTGTGTCCTGCCCAGATGGGTCAGCGGTCCTCTCTCTGTTTCATACACTACAGGATTGCTGACCAAGAATCTATAAACAGACCCTCTTCCCCATTCCCTTCGTGCTATGGGTCCTGACCCCCCAGGACTATCACTGTAACATCCCACGCCACTCCAGCTCCGTCTCACCACCCTGCCACAGCATTGGCTCCTTAAGCACACGTCCAGCTGTGACCCCCCTGGCTGCAACCCTCCCGTCCTCACCATTCCCTGCAGAAGAAAAGCCAGATCCTGGTCCTGGCATTCAAGGCTCCACCTTCAGCCCAACCACCTTTCCAAGGCTGCAATTTGCTCACCTTCCTCTGGACATGCAAAGCTGACAACCCACTGTGCCCTCCCCTCCCTTGTCTTGTCTTGTCTATCTTTTTCCTGGGTCTTGTCCTTTCTCTCAGCCCAGAGACCCTTCTCCATTCCCTGCCTGCCCAGACCCCTCTGCTGAGGTGCAGCCCCCATCTGCCCCGTCTAGGACGGTCTCTACCCCTTGCTGTCATCTTCAGCCTCCTAATGCTTGCTCTGCTGGCCCACCCATCTGCCCTTGGCCTTCTATGTAGTCTGTGGACTTCTGGAGATCAAGGATACACCTCACTCCTGAGGCCAGCCCCGGCTTTGCCCACAGGTAACACACCTTGTAGAAGGAGTGAATTTCTACTTTATTCCCACCCCCGAATCCAACACTCAGGTTACCCTCCCTGGGGGTGGGGGCAGTTTTCAGACCCTCCAGGACTCTCCAGGAGAAAACTCACCACCAGAGAAGCATTGAATTCGTGGTTCAGATCAGCCTCCTCAGCAGCCTCCACCAGACTCTAAGAGGCAGGAATGCAAACGGAAGAGAGTGGGTCACGGGTCAGCAAGGCCTTGGTAAACTAAATGCAGCATCAAGTCACCATGTGACCTGCAGTTCCACCCCAGTCGCATCCCCAGAGCCATGTCCTTGGTTCTTCTCCTTGCCTCTCCCCTCTGCTCCTTTGGCCATGAGGACCCACCCTTCATGGTCCCCAGTGCTCTGATAGCCACCTAGGTAGCAAAGGTACCCACACTGATGGTCCTTGTTCAGGTGACCTTGTCACTGGACACTCACCAAGCCTGGCTGGACCAGGTGGTATCAGAATGTACCCTCTTCCCTGATGTGGTATCATACCGTGATGCCCATGGGGCACCTGGCTGGTGGGAACCTGCAGATCCAGTGTGGCCTGAGAGACACAGACCCCACTCCCAGCCAGGAATCAAGCGTCCACGTCCAGGGTGGTCCCTGAGAGGACTCAGAAGAGCAGACACACCCTCTAGCAGCCAGAGTAGGAATGTGGCGTTGCGGGACTGGGGGCTGGGAGACTGGGGGTCAGGGGTCAGGGAGCTGGGGAGGGCCGGAGGCTGGCTGCCGTACCTTGACAGCCTCCACTTTTCTCTGCAGCATATTCTCCATGTCCTCCGAGAACTTCCTCACCAGCTCCAGGCCGTCTACCTTCTTGATCTGCAGACTGGGAGCTACATCCTTGTATTTCTGTTCAGGGCCAAGCGGGGATGTCTGCACCTGATCGCACACAGCCTCCATGTTCCCAGCAAGTGCGTTCGTGACGTGAGCCCTTGGTCACTCAGCTAGAGGCAGGGACAGGCCCTTCCTCCCTGCCAACCTCCCAATGAATAAGCTCTGCTTCCTGTTTTTACATGTCCTGATGCAGGGGCTCTAGATCCCTGGTGGTTAATCTCCTTAACAGAAGTAAACTGAGGCTCAGTCAATGAACTTGACCCCAATCAGCAGTCCTGGAGCCTGGCAGCCAACTTCTGTGCCTATGTTTTTTGTTCAGAGTCCTGAAACAGCCCTGAGCATCGGTTCCCAGAAGATGCGCTCTGTGCTTGTCCCCGTGTCCTCCCGACCAGCCACTGCTCAGGAGCTCCAGGATTGAAGACAGCTGTCTGACAGACTGCCTGAGCCCTGCACAGCCTAGAAACTGGGTTCAGGTTTGCTGTCCTCTCCCACAGAGCATGTGTATCACAAGTGTCTCTCACCCAGTTCTGCAACCTGTTGGCCCTGTGACCTTAGGCATGCATCTGTAAGGTGTGATGCTTCTATAGCTTTAAAGAATGCTGTAGAATGCATGGATTCTGCAGAACACTTTTCCCCCAAATGGCCACATAATTACCACTCAATCTTCCTCACCTGAGCCTCACCCTATGTCCAAAACAACCAGAGGAAAAAGGGCTGGAGGTGTGGCTCAAGCTGTAGGGCACCTGCCTACCAAGCATGAGCCCTGAATTCAAACCCCGAAAAAAGCAAAACCCCAGATGTGTCTGCAGCACAGGGGTGTGTTATACGCTGGGGTTTTCATCTGTGTGGTCCCGGGACCAGAAGCAACTCCAGCAGGAGGACCTGGGGGCTGTGGGGAAGGGGACACCAGGGAGGGTGGCAGGGTGCCCACCGCAGGCATAAAAGCTGAGATCTGGCACTATTTATAGTATGGTAAGATGCCTCATGGAGCTGAGGGGAGAATTAAACCATGCTTGGTGACATAGCTGTTATTGAATCCATTCTGGGAGTTCCAGCTACTAGAGAAATGATGCTGTTTATAATCTGGTTTGAAGACAAAGTGAGTCAGAAGTCTGCACATAAAGTACTTCACGAATAAAGGGGTGCTGTAGCACCCCTCCATCAGGCCCTGATCCTCTCTCAGGGCCCAGGCATGGGGGATGGGGAGGGCGATGCAGCTTTGGGCTTGGCCACAGGTCCCGAGAGCCGAGCGGAGGCAGAGGCTCACAGCACATGGTTTCTGAGGCTTCACGGGCCCCTCATCCCCCCCAAACCCACCCACTCTCTCTCTCCCCCCTTTATTCTTCACGCCCACCTCTTGGTAAATCACTTGCAGGTCTAATTCTATCTTGGCATCGATGCTTTTGACCGTGCCACTGTATGCCCCATTAACTTGTTCCACTGGTGGGCAGATCCTTCACTTTCCTGGACCTCAGTTTCCCCATCTGAAATGAGGGACTGGCTAAAATGGTCTCCATGGCCCTGCCAGTACTGACACAGGTACTCTGTTTCCCTGCCAGAAAGAGGACCTCAACTGACCACACTGTATGCTTCCCAGGAGGGGACACTGACCTTCTGCAACAAAAGGGAGCCTGAGTACTTGGTCACCGTGTCATACAGGTCCCTGCCATAGGTGTCGGCCCACAACTTCACTCTGCAAGGGAGGAAAGCCAGGTGCAGATGGGGGGCCCAGGCATGGAGCACAGTGCACACACAGGCAAAACTGGTGTCCTGCCCATGGATGCCCACTGAGACATGCCCTCACACACACACACACACACACACACACACACACACACACACACACACAATCCTACACCCAGTAACACACGGGGCTCCCATTCCTGGAATGGCAGCCGTGGCCTGGGCAGGAGAGCTGAGAGCCCAGGGGGCTCTGCAGTGTGCTGGGAGCTCTGTACCCACCCTTGGCTGTGTTTCCTCCTGAGGGTCGTGGAGCCAATGGGCCCAGAACCAAGCCTGGCCCCAAGTCCTCAAGGCCTCAGGTTTTTGGGTGAGAAAGGAGAGGTCAGGAGGAGAAGAGGAGGTGGACAGATCCAGCCAGGGTGGGGGAGACCCCAAGAATGAAAAAAGGAACATCCTGGGTGCCTGTCCATGACCCTGCGTTTGCTGCTCAAGGTCATAGGGACCTCAGACCTTCCGTGGAAACCTCAGAGACAGTATGGAGCCGGGCATGAGAAAGGGTTCTGGCAGCTTCTGCTGACACTAAGTGCCGACCAGGCTGGGAGGGCAAGAGGAGCCCCACCTCAGCCTTGGCCAGGGCAGCTGGCCAAGATTTGGCTCCTCCAAGGAGGATCCTAGGGCCCTGGGGTGGGCACACAGGACCCTGCCTGAGGCTCCCAGATGGAGCCTGTGTGACAGCTTCACAATCAGCACCACTCAGGGCTGAACAAGTGTTGACTGAGGTCTATAATATTATATGTCAGATGGTGGCTTTGCCTTGGTGAGCCCTCAGTTAGGGGTACTCCTTTCCCACATAGGTAGCACAGCACTCATTTGAAGGGGGTGGTGGAACTTAGGAAAGGGTAATGGTGGCAATGGAAGCTTCCTAGGGGAAGTGGGTTAGACATGTGGTAGAAGCTAGCCCAGAAAGCAATTTGGAAGAAGAGTTCTAGGTCAAGAATACAGAAGAACTTGGAGGAGTCAAAAATTGCTTCCAGGTTTCAGGTTTGGGTTGATGAGCTTATGGTGGAATTATCAAATAAAATTGAGACTAGCAGGGTCAAGGGGAGCACATAGGGGAGGGAGGAAAGTGAGGAATGTAGCTTGAGTGATACTGAATCTGAGGCTCCCGTTGCAGTGCTGCTGAGTACCATTGGGCAGGAGTGCACTGCACGCCTGTAGAAGGTACGAATCAATTGTATCTTGAAAGACACAAACTTGAGTTTAAAACTTTCCATGATGTTCAGGAAGAAGAATCCACAGGCACTGGGTGTGTGAGTCTTTAGTACATGGCTAGCTCAGGACTGAAGTGCCGAGCACAGGTGATAAATGGGTTCTGTGAAGGAGAATGTGTAAACATAGGTCGATCTGTGAATGATGACAAACACCGAGTGCCACCAACTTCGGGTGCGTGCAGGAGGCAAGAAACTCCTCCCTCTCTGTGTCTCTCTCCCTGTTTGCAGTGCTGGGGATTGAACCCAGGGCCTCACTTTTGCTAGATAAGCACTCTATCACTTGAGCTATGCCCCCAGTCCTTTTGTTTTTATTTTGGTTGTTGTGTTAGGTGCTCACTAACTTTTTGGCAGAGCTGGCCTCAAACTCGTGATCCTCCTGTCCCTGCCTCCCTAGTAGCTAGGATTACAGGCATGCACCACCATACCCTGCTGAAGCAAGGAGCTTTTGAAGACAATAGAGATTAAACTCAGGAGCCCATGGGAAACCACAGGGCACAGTGAGATGGAAGTCAAACATGGAGATTCAAGGAAAGGGGGTGGGGGGCATTAGAAGCAGCAGGGCTGTAGTGGTGGTGGTGGTGGATGAGACTACAGATGTCTCCCTGACTGGCAGAGGAGGAGGTCTTTGACAACGTCGTGGAGGTCAGATTCAGGAACTTCCACTTATTGGCCTGGTGAACTTGGGGGTGCACCCAACTCCTCAGAGCCTCAATTGCAAACAGGAGAAGTGTTGCCCTCCTCACTGGCTCATGAGGACAAAGCCTCTGTTGCTGAAGCAGCAAATCCAGTGCTGGCAGAGAGCAAGGGGGGTTGCCCAGTGCCATGGAAGACCACCCTGCCCAAATGCACTCTCCCCAGCGCAAACACAAATGCTGCATTGTCTGGGCCCATCCTGCCTCCGGGAAGCTGGCTGTGCAAGTAACCTACAGTCATGCAGGGCTGGCAGCCCCTGGACTCGATGGGCACCGTTAGTCTAGAACGGTCTTTAACAAGACACCAGGGCCGAGGGCTATAAAACGGACCGCCCAGAGAGTGCTCAGTAATGTATACTAAGGTGTAAACGACTGATGTTCAATTCTTTTCCTGGAGCTGGTATAGAATGAGGCCCAGAAGGAGGCACAAAGGTATAGAAGGCTGCTGAGATCCAGTTTTACCTGGTTTCCGTGGGATGGACCATTCTGTCCATTTAGCTGCTTTTACCCTTTCGGAATGTCATAATGCAAATTTCCTAAGGGATACATGGGGAACTCATGGGCAATCACCACTTCCGGAGCCCACACAGCCCCTCCAAGCCCCCTCCAAGCCCCCACCACACGGGTGAACTCTGGACAGAGCTCCTGGCTGACTGAACATGCAGCTTGCAGCCCATCAGTCTTGCATGAGCCATCAGGCCCAGGGAGGGGACAGAGGTCTGGGAGGAGGGGAGGCCAGGGAAGTAAAGGTCATTACAGCGACAGTGGCAGGTTGAGTGCCCAAGGAGGAGTAGGGGCAGGGAGCAGAGGGTTGCATCTGATGGCAGGGGGAAGGGGCAGTGCAGAAGGGTTGTTCAGGGTGGGATTGAACCTGGGCTTACGTTTCCAGAGGAATCTTGGGCTGGCCCCAGGTGGGGGGCAGGGACGTGCTGGACAGCAGCAGCCACACGATGACCATCGTCTTCTGCAGGAAGGCCCAGGCCCCTGGCCACTGACGGCAGTGACCCCCATTACAGGGAGTGCCAGGGTTTGGGTGGCCCTTGGGGAGTCCCAACATGGGGCTTCTGCTGGGGACAGGGTGGGGGCAGAGGACAGAGTAGCCTTCGCCTATGAGTGAGCTTGCCTGCCAGACAGTCTTGAGCTGTCTGCCTGTGGGTACTGGCAAATCCCTGGGGTCCCCAGCCTTTCAGCCAGGTTCTGGGGTGGGGGAGGCGTCTCTGCTCTGAAGCTAGCAGAGGAGCTGCCCAGTGGGAGAGGTTGGGACAAAATGTGCCCCTCTAATCCCTCTGGTCTCTCTTCTAATCCCCTCCTGACACAGAGGAGGGGTGGTGGAGGGGACCTCAGCAGGATTACCGGATTCCAGCTTAGCCCATTGGAGCCATTACACCCAGTGCTTTAAAGAGGCAGAGCTGTGCCCACAACAGCCTCTGCACCCGTGGGGACAAGGCCCTCCTACCTGGCCAGAGCACAAGAGCTGCTGGGCTTGTCCTGTGCTCTCACAAACCTTCTCTGACCCTCTGAGCCATGGGTGGAGGGCAGCAGCACCAGCCCTGCTCCGTGGTGAGGCCCAGGTCAGGGCGGGGACTCCTGTGTCTCTAAGCCTTGAGCCTCTGGGCCAGGTTGCAGGTGCATCCTGTGTCACCATGTCTCATTTGCTTCTGGCACTCAGCCAGGGACACATTGACTGGGATGTTGACGAGATTTCACAACCTCTTACCTGTGTAGACTCTTTCCTTTCCAAAAGTTTCTGTAAAATCTGCAAAAGTAAGATAGTTTGTTATTGAAATTGGCGAGGCTGCAGGAAGTTCTCCAAAAGGGAGGAGGCTCTTGGGAACTGTGTTTGTGATGTTGGAAAACTAACTTTACAATATGCATCAATATAGAGACCAAGAAATTTTATTAGCAAAGCAAAGGAAAGATAGAAATAAAGCACACACCCCAGAAACGTGTGAGGGTACCTCTGACAAGAGGCCCGCTGAGCGCTCTGACATCAGGGTATCGATGACTGGTCAGTTTGCTACATTTGGGTCATTGTTCTATCTGTTCTCTTTGAATACCCTCTAAACAAAGGATGGGCTTTCCCAGACAATCCTTCAAGACAGGTGTCTGTCTTTGAGATAAATATTTTTCTTTTGCAAACAGTTTTGTGATCAAAAGAGTCATTTTATCAAGAGTCAACCCCTCCTCCCCCTCCAAGAGAAGTATTTTTCTTTAAGATATTCTTGGGGCTGGGGCTTGGTGGCTCATGCCTGTAATCCCAGGTACTCAGGAGGTGGAGATCAGGAGGATCTCAATTGGAGGCCAGCCTGGACAAAAAGTTAGTAAGACTCCAGCTCAACCAACAAACTAGGTGAGGTGGTGTACACCTGTGGTTCCAGCTGCACAGGAGGCTGTAGGTAGGGGAATTGCAGTGCAGGCTGACCTAGGCATAAATGTGAAATTCCCTGAAAAATAACTAAAGCAAAAAAGGCTGGGCGTGGGGCATGGCTCAAGTGGTAGGGTGCCTGCTTAGCAAGCACCAGGCCCTGAGTTCTAAACCCCAGTATCAAGCAAACGATTTCTTTTTTTTTTTTTTTTTCATTTTTCTTTTATTATTCATATGTGCATACAAGGCTTGGTTTATTTCTCCCCCCTGCCCCCACCCCCTCCCTTACCACCCACTCCACCCCTTCCCGCTCCCCCCCTCAATACCCAGCAGAAACTATTTTGCCCTTATCTCTAATTTTGTTGTAGAGAGAGTATAAGCAATAATAGGAAGGAACAAGGGGTTTTGCTGGTTGAGATAAGGATAGCTATACAGGGAGTTGACTCACATTAATTTCCTGTGCGTGTGTGTTACCTTCTAGGTTAATTCTTTTTGATCTAACCTTTTCTCTAGTTCCTGGTCCCCTTTTCCTATTGGCCTCAGTAAGCAAACGATTTCTTGCTGGATCCTCCTTAGAAATGATTTGGGCAAGCTGGCAAGGTCAGGGGACAGGCTGCTGTTTCTCTGAGCTGCAGCTCAGTGAGGGGTGCAAAGCCTAAAGAAAGCAAGCTGTGGACTTCCTGACTGCCCCTTAGTTGTGTGACGTTTACTTGTGTAGCTGTGGCACTTGGGGGATCAGCTCAGAGGAAGTTGAGTTGGGGGCACATTTAATTGGGCCCTAGTGAGGTCATTCACAGACACTTCCTTGTCTAGACAAGTCATGTCCAGCCATGTCCAGGGATGCTCACGACTCACAGGGCCTCAGGATACACAGGTGCCCCCCCCCCAGGGAGCATGTATCATGAATGATGTGGGCTGCCCCACAGTGCCCACCACTGGTGGAATGTGGTAGAACAGGGGAAAATAAGACTTCAAAGGCACTGAGCCACCAGCCCTTCTGTAAGACTTCTTCCTCCAAAGGTCAAAGAAAGAGAATGGGCGGCAGAGGACTGGTTCTCACGGTGGCCTGGCGCGACAGGAGTGTGCTCTCCAGTTAGGAAGACTGTTTGTGTCAAATGATCATAATTACAAATATGCCTCACAAATGTCTTTTCTGATGAAAATGACACAAATGGAACAGACCAGCTCTCTCGTGTTTGGGCCTCCCCTGGCAATGCCAAGTTCTGAGCTGGGGGAGCCACATGTTCTCTGCTTTCTGGTGACCGATGCACCTTGGCGAGAGGAAGTCTGGTGGCTCTGGAGGAGTTGCCATGGATGTGGCAACCTGCTCTGGCAGCACGTGCTCCAGGGACTGTCAGCCAGTGCTGTGGCGTCAGAGCCATCTGTCCACAGCCAGGGGGCCACCCGACGTGGCAGCGATTTTTAAGTGTGCTGAGCGGTTCCCACAGGGCCTTCGTCTCAGACAAGGGCCGTGTGCACAGCACAGCCCGTTTCAGCATTGCAAAGTGTACGACTCCAGGAGGAAGCCCAGAGGGTGCCGGCCGGGGCGGGGTTCTTCTTCTGATTTTAGTGGTCTTCTCCCACTGCTTAAGCACTGTGATTTGGAATGACATCTGAAGTTCTAAATAAATCTTTACCTTACCCCCCCCCCCAAAAAAAAATTTTACTGTGGCAAAATACACATAAAAAGTGCATCTTAATCATTTTTAAGTGCATGGTGCAGTTTTATTAAATATTACCATAACGATTGTGTCAATGTGGACCGTAAAGGCAGCAAAGTTAAAACCAGACCCCCTGCCCCTCACAGGTGGCTTGCTGGAGACTCCCTACCCAAGCCCCAACGACTGACAGAGCGACAGCTGTTAACCTTTATCTCCCGGTGGAAGCCAAGGACAGTCAAGGACAGTTAAGCAGACAAATGACCTAACCACCACTTTCCTTGGTTGCCCAGCAACCGTATCCCTTGGTGAGCCACAAGGACATTTTCCAACCCAGTGACCTTCCTGGTACCTTTCCACCAGCTCCCCTATACCCACCCCAAGCCTGAACAGGACAGTGGGCTCTGGCTCTCTTGCTGGAGACCCCTCTGCAGGCTCTTTCCCCAGTAAAGCCTGTGCTGGTGTCGAGCCGCCTCCCGCCTGTCCTCCCGTGACTCTCTTCGGTCTAACAGGTTGCAACCATTACCACCTCCGTCTCCAGAACCCTGTTCATCTTGTAAAATTGAAACTATCTTAAGAGACAGGGTCTTGCTCTGTTTTCCAGGCCGGAGTTCATGGCCATTCATGTGAGCGTTGACCTACTCCATGTAAAACCAAAGCTCTATACCCATTAGACAGTAACTCCCTGTTCCCTTACCCCCTGCTGGTCCCTGGAAATCACCCCATTTTCTGTCTCTAGTATTTTTACTATCTATCTGATATAAGTGAAATCATGTAATATTTATCCTTTTGTGACTGAGTTATTTAGAATACTATCTTCCAGATTCCTCCATGTTGTATGTAGCATGTGTAAGAATTCGTTTCCTTTTCAAGGCTGAATGATACTCCATTGCATGTCCGTACAGTTTGTACATATATTTGCATATCATCCCTTAATGGAGACTTGATCCACCAGCATTCTGAGACAGGTCATCCTGGTTTCTTCCCTGGATTATGGCCACAGCCTTCCCATTGTCTAAGCTGGGGTCTTCTGCTTGGCCCTCCAAAGGAGGTCTGTGCCTGCTGCACTTCTGAAGACTCAATGGCATAGCTGTCCCTTGGAGTCCAGTACCTGTGGCTTTCCACTGAGCTCAGCTAACAGAGAGCCAAAAAAGAGGATGGAATATGGCTACCTCCCTGCTGTGTCCCTCGACCCAGCACGGCTGGCCCTTGGGAGTTTGCTTCTGCCCCCAATCCCTACCAGCCTCCTACAGCCACTTCCTTCCCTTGACCTGGAGGTGGAACCCTCATGGCTGCTCCTGAAACCTGAGTCACAGCTACACCATACCTCACCAAGGATTCTGTCCTGAGTTGGCTTGGTTTCGGGAAATGGGTACCCCATTTCCTCTGGTACCCGTCTGTCCCCTGGCCCCACTCTTACCCCTTAGCAGCTGAGGGATTCTTGGGGAATGGAAGACCCTGTCACTCTTCCCAGAAGCCCCCAGTGGTTGTCATAAGGCTTGGAGGAAAAGCCAAAAGTTTTTATCATGGCCCACAGGGAAATACACCAGCTGAACCTGGCTTTTCCTGACCTGATCTCTTGCTACCCGTCCCTACTCACAGGCCACTGCTTAGTGGTGCCTTGCTGCTCTTTGGGCATATCAGGCATGCCCAAGGACCTTGACCTTGGAGCTTATGTCCCCCTGTGGGACTCTGCCTGCTCTGTTTGCCCCTGGATGGTTGCCCCTTCATTTCTGTCAGGTGTCTTTCAGCTTCTGTTGCTATCACAGAATGCCTGAGGCTAGGCAATTTATAAAGAATAGAGGTTTATTTTGGTCACAATTTTAAAGGTCAGCCATCTGCCCCGTTTCTGGTGAGAGCTTCCTGCTGCTCCAACTCATGGCGGAAAGCAGAGGGCAGGTGGGGAAGCAAGAAAGACAACTTGAGGGACTGCCCTGCTGTATAACAGCCACTCTAAGGTCAGTATTCCAGCCCTGCAAGAGGGACAACTCATCCCCAAGAACCGGCATAAGTCAGTCATGAGGCTCCAACCCC